AAGACCTACCAATTTATAAGACAGGGTGTGTTCCTGTTTGAGAGTGGGCTGGCAGCGACAACAGACTCAAAGAATGTGTAACTCTGCCAGAGGGTGTGGCAGAAACCATTCTTTCCCCTAGGGAGATGGGGGCTATCTTTACTTGGTTGTGTCTTTATCATAATCCTTGGGGACTTCCCTACACTCAGTTTCTCCTTTTTTAACCAATGTGCTCTTTCCTTGGGATGTGTAGAAAGAGATGACTAAAAGACTGTAGCCCATTCCCTGGCCCTAACTACAAAGGGTGTCTCATTTATCCTCACATAGTCATTTTGTAGTTACAAAGAGAATTAATTACACACCTGTGGGTTCACGCACCATCAGAACCAAGGAAAGATAAATGCACAGAGTTTGGATTTAAAGGGACTTGGAGATGGGAGAGATGTATAAAACATGCTCAAGGCAAGTTACCTGCACACAGGTTAAATTGGACTGAAGTTGGAGAAGAGAAAAGATGGTTCCTGTCAGAGGGTCCAGACAACCTTGCCTCTCTTGCAGCTAAGAGCTACAAGTGTTGGTCTAACTGTTAGCATGATGACACAACGAAAAGTTATTGCTTGCAGGAATTTCGGGTCAGGTACCCTTTGAGGGTCCACAAGCTGCCTTGAGTGGTTCAGGGAAAGACAGGGTTGTTTTGAATCTGGGGGTGTACTTGGTTAATTCCTCTTCAGGTGTCTTGTAGCTAAAGAAGAGGAAGAGTGAGGGAAAAAATCAGTACCAAGTCAAGCTGGAAAGTGGAACAGAGGGTGAGGTGTACAGGTTCAGTGTCATTCATAGGACTGTGTTCCCACTTTGGGAAGATAATGAAGAGGGAAGAGCAGTTGACGTGCACTCCTTTACTACTTATGATATCCTAAACCATCACCCAGGACAAGTATCCTCAGAGTGTCCACACTGTATGAGCCCCAAGAGCTGATCTGAAGGTGACTTAGTGCATACCAGACGAGATGCCACTTCATAAAGACATTCACCGATGTCTGCATAGAGGGTCCTGGAATGAGGAACAAATGTTCCTGTACTCGGTATATATGTTTTAAGAGCATAGACCTAGCCTAGACTTCTCAAATTCTAGAGCTAGAACACAGGAAACCTAGCTGAAACACAGGCTCCCAAGGCCCAGTAGTGAGATTCTGGGTTAGCATACTGGAGTTGGAGTCGAGGGATTAGTACTGTTAGCAAGTTACTCATTTGATTTGGATCGGTAGTTCTTACACTACCCCGGCTATTTTAGTCTCTCTCGAAGTTAGCATGTCAACAAATGAGAGGCTTTACCAGTAACACAAACAAAACGGAATGTTCAAGCTTGTCATGTCATAGACATATTTATGTATGAGTGCCTTCTATGGGAAAGAATACATATTTGTCTCCTTGTTATTGCTCCTCTATCAGTTCCTTTCTCATCTTCTGCCCGTTTGCTGTTGTTCTTGCACTCAGATTCGTCTTGGCAGTCTTTATGTGACCTTTAATGTGACCTGGAATTAGAGCTATTGGAACCAACAATACCACAAACTGCAGATCCGACTTCTCCAGCAAAAGCCAAGGGAAGCTGCCTAAGTTTTACACAGGTGGGGAGCGACAGGTGGGAGGGGATTTGCAAAATAGTCTTTTCCTTTCAAACTTCCTTTGAAAGTTTCCTTCTAGATTTGCAGACTGTGCAAATTTTTTCCAGAGGAAAATTACTGGAGCCCCAAAGACCCACAACATTCATTAGAAATGTGTACTACTGTTAAATATATTTTATATTACAGCACACACACACACACACACACACCAGTTCACATGTACATGCATGTGCGCACGCGCACACACACACACACATGCAGCATGTGTATCTTTATGTGCAAATAAATGGGAAAAGAATTAATCTCATTTTCTTTTTAATTACTTAAAATTCTACTGTGCCAGGGCTGGAGAGATGGCTCAGCAGTTAAGAGCATTGCCTGCTCTTCCAAAGGTCCTGAGTTCAATTCCTAGCAACCACATGGTGGCTCACAACCATCTGTAATGAGGTCTGGTGCCCTCTTCTGGCCTTCAGGCATACACACAGACAGAATATTATATACATAATAAATAAATAAATATTAAAAAAAAGAAAGAACCAAACTTAAAAAAAAATTCTACTGTGCCTACTAGTACATGGTACTGTTACACTCTGTTTCCATTCAAGAATCTGTTGTAGATTGAGCACATCCTCTTCATGCTTCTCACCTGCCCATTTCTCCTTCTCTTTCCGGCCCTCTGGTCCTCTCTGCTTCTCTAGACAGTTTCTCTTCTATTTGTTTCCTATCTTTTCCTTCTTTCTTCTTCAGACAGCAACTCCCTTGATTCATCCGTTGTCTGTCTGAGCTCATGAAGGATCTGCACTTTGTTGAGAAGCTTTCACTGTCTTAAAGGTTGGTCATTCAGAAAAGCACTAAAAATGTTCTTTGGGATACATCCAACGGCAGAGTGGTGCTTGATCTCTGCGGCCCCACACTTGGCAAGTTCAGGCCTCTTTATCTCTTAACCTGAAATTCTAACTGCCTATCCAGTCATTGTCTTTGCCTCCTCCTCTTACCCTCAGCACTGATTTCCCCAGCAGGTGCAACCCATATCAAAGGAAAGACAGCCACTGCTGTTTTCAACTCAAATTGTGACTTTCAATATTTAGAAATGAACTAAGAGACTCAAACACTCAAGGTTTTTCATAAGAAGCTTTAAAAAATTATTTATTACTTTTATGTTATGTGTGAGTGCTTTGCCTGCAGGTGTGTGTCCTTAATGCCCTTGAAGTCAGCGAAAGGCCTCAGACTTCCCTGGATCCAGAGTTATGGATGGTTGTGGACTTTCCACAACAGGGCGGCTGGGAATCAATCCTGGGCTCTCTGTGAGATCAGCCAGTGTTCTTATCCACTGAGTCGTCTCTCCAGCCCCACAATCAGCTTTGTTTATCCAGCTAACACGTTTCAATTTCATTGCAACTGTTTTATTTTGTGCACTAAACTATGATTGTAACTTTGTTTGTTATTCTTAACTAAGCATTTGGTCTTTAAAAGTAGCAATGAAAGAAACCAACTTTCTGGGTCTCTTTTTATTACCGGAGGGGAAAAGTCACCTTATCCCTAACACTGACATCTTTAAATCCCCATAAAAAAAAAAACCAACAGGGTTGGGGATGTAGCTCAGTGGCAAAGCACTTGCCAAAAGCAAAAAGCACAATTCAACCCAGATTACATTCTTACACTACCCAGCCTCTTCCCCACACACTTTACTAAAAATATCTTCCCTGGCATTTTTCTCTTCCTCTTCTTCAACCATCAAGTACTTGGCAAGTTAACTCTCCTCCAAGACATATTCATTATATTTGTTTAATGGTAACATTATGAACCTCTAGGTTTTTGTGCAGCTCTAAAACAGAGAATTGGTTTTACCTTAGTTATTTTGAGTATGTCATTTCAGAGAGAAAAGATCCATCAAAGACAACTGGGACCATATCCCAAGGTAGACTCACTCTGACTGAAAACGGGAAACTCTGAGCACTAAGACAATAAAAGCATCAGGACACTGAGGCACAGCAGGTAGTGACAGAAAGAGACCAAGCCACACCAGAGTTTGTAAAGATGCACCAGAAAAGGAAGCCATTCGTTACCTCTCGAGCTTGCAAGGATTCCAACTCATTTGTTCTGTAAATTAACAAGGAAAAGGTGAAGCAGGCGTTCAAATGAATTGCCCGATGACTTGTTTGATACTTTCATGCAGGCTCTGCGTGACCAAAGTAGATCTCATCTTATGTATTGTAAGGCTTCAGTACAAACTCCTATGATGAGACTTTTGCCTTGTGAACGATTCTGAGGCCAACCCTGCTTAGTTTAGTCTGCTTTTCCTGTAATTTTGTGCAAATGAAATCATCCATCGCCGTGTCTTGTATTGACTTCATTTTGCTTTTGCTACTTATCTGAGCAGGGATAGCGCATTTCTTTGATGCAGAGTAATACTCCATTGTACGGATTTATCACGACTTGCTCACCCATTCACTAGCATTTCTCCTGCAGCTGTTAAGATGATCTCACTCCTTGTTATAGTCACAGGCTGATTACACTGATTGATTTTCAGATGTTAGACAAATTCTGTATTCCCAGGGCCAATCCCTGGTTATGTATTATCTTCTTAATGTTGTTGAATTTGATTTGCTAAATTTTTGTACGTGTATTTGTGCCTAACCCCACCACTGAGGTCATTCACCAGGATGAAACTGACCCTTATAACATAAATTCAGAAACATATTTTGCAATTCTTGTAGAACTTTGAGCAACATTACACTATACATGAAAGGTAACTTGGCAGGTGTTGTTTAAATGTACATACTTAAAATATAAATTTGTTCTTCCTTTCTCGATTTCTCCCTAATCCCCACAACAAACACACTATATCCATTTTCACACAGAATTGGCCAAATTTGTATGTGACTTGTAATCGCAGGTTAAAATTAATAATTATTATAATAATAGATGACAATTAGATCGAGGTATTTTTCTGTTTGCTCGAGGTGGGACTGAGAGCCCTAGAAACTGTAAGACTTCCTGAGCAGAGGACCTTCCTATCCTATACAGATCTGCACCATGAACACCCATTACAAGTTTTTATGAGTAACCTGTGTACAAGATACCCTGTGTCCCTATTTACATTATAAAGTTAACATGTCAGTACTTAACTTTTCTTTTCTACGACGAACGTGCATTCTGCTCTAATCCAAAGAAGGCGCGTGAAGCGATGAAACTCCAAGATAGTGGCCTGAAGCCTACTAGTTCAATTGAGCATGCTCAGTCGCCAGGCAGATTTTTTTTTTTTTCTTTTCTTTTTTTCCCAGTGAAGTAGAAACTACAACTGCGCGTACTGGGTGAGCGGGGGTGGGCGTGCCCTCGTGGAATTTAGAACGTTCCCTCAGCCAATAGGGCCTCGCGACCGGCTGGCCGGGCTCGCCATTGGGGGACCGGGATGCGAGCGAGTGGAGCGCCGTGGGAGGAAGCGGAGGTGCAGGTCGGAAAGGCCGGGCTAGCCGAGCCCATTGCAGGAGCAGCTGCAGCAGCTAGGCAACATCCAGCGGCGTGCCAGGCGGCCCAGCCCGTTGCTTTACTTTTTACTGCACCTACGTAGTCATTATGCCGAAGAGAAAGGTAAGTCCTGCTGAAAAAAAAAAATTGCTCGCAGGCCCTCGAGTGTGGTCCGAGCAAGCCCCCGGTGTTGCGATGGACGTAACGATGCGCCTAGTAACTCGGGCACTGGGCACCGCTGCTGCCTGCTCCTTTTGCAGATGCCTGTTGCAGACCTCGCTGTTCCCGCACCGAGCTCCGAGTGTTACTTTCCCTCCGGGGTCGTGTCCTCCCCTTTCCATCAACTCCTGGCTGAAATGGTTTCCACCTCTTGTCAGCAGCTGCCAGGGCGAGTGTCCATCCCCCTCGCAGGAGTTTCCACTTGGCAAACTCCAGGTTGTTCTCAGGGTGGAGGGAAAGCAACTGAAAGAGTCTCCCAGGTCAGGGAAATCAAAAACGGTGGAAAGAGTCTGAGGAGCCAGGCGGGGTCAGGAGTGTCCCCTGGGCCATGCCCAGTGCGAGCGATGCGGGCGGAAGGCCGGGAGAGGGAAAGCCATGTTTCCCTACGCCAGCCCTGCTGCGCCGTGGACCCGTATGTACCCACTCCGGTGTCGGTGTCAATCACCGGCCGCGAGGGCGGGAGGGGCAGTGCGCAGCGCGGGGTAGGCGGCGAGGAAGGGGGCTGGTGCCAAGCACACCGACCCTGGCCAAGGTCAGGGGCCACCAACCCCTGACTGCTATCCCATCCACCACGCTACGCTTGGATGGGCAGGGAACCGGGGTCATTTTAGTGTCTTTTCTGCCCCTTGTGGGTTGTGTCCCCTTCTGCGCAGGGACATCACGAACCACACGTGGGGTCACACAGCTTCCCAGGGTGGGGCTTCGACTTGTCATTGGACTGGTAAAGGAAGGGCAGATTTTTTTTAACCCCTCCCTGAGAGAACCGGTGTGTGAGAACTGATTCCTAAAAAAACAAAACAAAAGAAAACAAAACAAAAAACCTGCCCCAAAGCCACCTGGCCAAAGGATCTAAGTCAACCAGTGTGGCCATTAAAGTTGGAACTTGATTCAGATAATGCCCCGCTTTCCCCCAAGACTGCAATGATTTGTGTGTGTGGCTGCATTATTTAAAATTATCGAAGCTTTAAATTTTTAGAAGCTTTTGCTTTCTTATATATTGTCACTGGAATTTGATTGTAAACGCTTCCACTCCTTTCAAATTTATTTTTATTACATTCATTTATTTTGTATGTGCTGGGGATGCACTGGCACCCACATGACAGTAGTAGATACTCTTCTGCCATGTAACTTGTGGGTTGTGGGAATCAAAAGCAAGAGTCTTTACTTCTTGAGCCATCTCCCCAGCCCAGGCATCTCCATTCTTTAAAAGAAAATCAATCCTATTTAATTAGAAGGTCTTTCTTAAAGTTTAATGAGAACCTACCCTGTGCCTCATGCTGTGTGGAGTTGGATGTGCATTATCTCATTGAATCCTCCTAACCACACAACTATTTTAGACTCATTGAGCAGGGTCTGAAGCCGGATTGCCCAACATTTCATTAACCATTGGTTTATAGTGGAGCTGCCATCCATCCGAAGGTCTTATTGGTCACCATGGACAACTCTTCTCTTCCTTTAGAGATGGGTAGGGACCAGGAGAGTTTGGGAAATCTAGAGCCTTGTAGTTGAAGAAGCTCGTGGCATGCTAAGAGTAGGAGCTCTTGAGTCTCGTTGTTCAAGCTTCATTTGCTGGCAGCACCGTTTTCCCAGCACTGTCGTACTAGAATGATGTCACTGTTTGCAGCCTTTTATCTGAGGTTAGTGACGAGCTGGGAATTGTAGCGGAATCAGAGGAACTAATTATCAAGACGTGAGTTACAGAGGGAGTTGAGACTAACTCTTTTCCTGAGAATTACTAACACGTTTGGTAAGCAGCAGGTCACTTGCACCTTTTATGAATAATGGCTCCTGGTTTGGGGGAACTTTTCCTTTAAAACCTGATCACCAGGTTGGGGAGATGGCTCAGTGGGCAAAGTGCCTGCCCCTCAGGCATGAAGATCTGGGTTTTATTCCCAGCACACGTATAAAAGTCAGATGCCTGCGTGCTCATGACTCTAGTGTTGGAGAGGTAGTGAGAGTCAGTCTAGCCAAATCAACGAGGTCGAGGCTCAAAGACCCCATCTCAAAAAATAAAATGGAAAGCAATAGACGTAGGTAGCCAACTTTGAGCTCTGACTTCCACCCAGGTCACGTGTGTGTGTGCACACATGTGCATGTGCGTGCAGACACAATTTAATTTACAAAGTAGAATAGGTAGTTCTTTAGACAAGGAAATATGGTGATTATAGCATGCAAATCCTTCTTCAGCAATCACCTGGCTTTACAGACCTCTAAGACCTATGCATGGATTGGCTCCAGTTCCTTTCTTGCACAGCTGGGCAGGCTTCACCTAGGGGACAATGGTTTCTAATGTCAGTTCCAAGGAACTCCAAGACTCCACTAAGGCTTGAGGACTAGGTGGATGGCTATCACATCTCTGCTCCATGTTTCACTGTTTCATAGAGATGTTACTTAACAGACTTCTACATCCTGCAGATCAAGACGTAGTACTAAAGTCAGTGAAAACGTGTGAAGACCTAGCACGGTCTAAATATTGTAGGGACACGATTTGTTCTCCAGGAGCTTATATTTAATTCAATGAAGTGATGGGATTAGCAGACAGAAAAAGAGCTGACTGACATTCGGGCTTATAGACGTTACAGAATGTGCTGTTCAGATTCAAAGACCAAGGATAGATAAGAAGACAGGTTGAATTTAGACTGGTTTGTCTTGAAAGTGTGGGTAGGACTCAAGGTAAAATTCAGCATCATTTTCTGTTAGCAGGCATTTGACTGCCTCTTTTTTTTTATACCCTAGACAGTTAGGCCTCAGCTACACAACTTCAAGGCCACAATAACATCCATATTATTATAAACTATTCTTAAGATACTTCTTTGTAAGTTTTACACATACACACATACACACGTTTGCTTATTAGTGGCATTAAACCAATTTTCAAATGACCCGCAGTTTATTTTGTTTTAAGCAGTGCAACCCTTAGCACTGTAATGTCTTTCTAAGATTTAAAGGAAGTTGAGTTCTCTGTATTATAAAATGGGTGGTGAGTGAGCCAAACCTCACGGACTCAGGTGGTGGTGGGACAATGGCTGACTGAAGTCTAGACTATTCTGCTCTGACAGCCACAAATGCCAGCAGAGGTCATGTTGTGATCTCATGTTCTGTACAGAAGCATTACCAGCAAGGCCTGGATTCAGTCCTGCCTGGTCAACAAGCCCATTTTCGCATCCTTTTTGTTTCTGATGTTTTAGCCCTACATTTGCTGTGTCTGGCACATCATGCCAGAAGTTGTCTAGTACAGTATTGTGTGCACATAGTGATCTCTTTCCAGGAAGGAAAGACTGCCTATTCCTTACCGTATCAGCTGTAGGAGTTCCCTGGTGGCATTTTTCAGGCCACCTTTGTGTACTATCATATCATCTGTAAATAATGGCACTTCAACTTCTTTCTTTTCAATGTGTAGCTCCTTGATCTTTTTCAGTTGTCTTATTGCTCTAGCTAGGACTTCATGTACTATATTGAATAGTTATAGAGAGAATGAACAACTTTGTTTTGCTCTTGATTTTTGGTGGAATTGCTTTGCGTTTCTACCCATTTATTTTGATGTTAGCTATAGGCTTGCTGTAGATTACCTTTATTATGTTCATGTTTGTCTCTTATATCCCTGCTCTCTCCTGGACCTTTGTCATGAGTAGGTGCTGGATTTTGTCGAAGACCTTTTCTGCATCTAATGAGATGATCTTGTGGTTTGTGTCTTTTAGTTTGTTTATATGGTAGATTGCATTTACTGATTTTTGTATGTTGTGTGCAGATCCCTGCATCTCTGAGATAAAGCCTACTTGATCGTGAATGGTCTTTCTGATGTGTTCTTGGATTCAGTTTGAAAGTATTTTGTTGAGTATTATTGCATCTATGTTCATAGGGGAAACTGGTCTGCTATTCTCTTTGTTGAGTCTTTTTGTGGTTTGGACATCAGAGTAACTGTGGCCTCATAAAATGAATTGGGTAATCTTCCTTCTGTTCCTATTTTGTGGAATAATTTGAGGAGTATTGATGTTAACTCTTCTTTAAAAGTCTGATAGAGCTCTGTGCTACAACTATCTGGTACTGGACTGTTTTGATTGGGAGAGTTGTATGCAATGACTGTTTCTGTTTCACTAGGGATTGTATGTCTGCTTAAATTGTGCATCTGATCTTGATTTGACTTTGGTAAGTGGTACCTATTGAAAAAATTATCAATTTATTTTAAATTTCTAATTTTGTGAAGTACAGGTTTTTAAAGTATGTCTTTGTGATTCTCTGGATTTCCTCCGTGTCTGTTGTTATGTTGTGTCCTCCTTTATATTTCTGATTTTATTAATTTGGATTTTTTTTCTCCATCTTTTGGTTAGTATGGAAAAGGATTTGTCTCTTTTGTTGACTTTCTCAAAGAACCACTCTTTGTTTCATTAATTCTTTGTAGTGTCCTTTTTGTTTGTATTTTATTGGTTTCAGCCCTCAGTTTGGTTATTTCTTGCGATCTACTTATTCTCTTGGGTGAGCTTGCTTCTTTTGGTTCTAAAGCTTTTAGGTGTGCTAGTATGAGATCTCTCCAAATGTGTGTGTGTGTGTGTGTGTGTGTGTGTGTGCGTGTGTGTGTAAGTATTTAGCTCTATAAATGATTTTCATTGTGTCCCCTAAGTTTGGGTATGCTGTGTATTCATTTTCATTGAATTCCAGAAAGTCTTTAATTTGTTTCTTATTTCTGTCTTGACCCATTTTTCATTCAGTAGATAGTTGTTCCTTTTCAATGCATTTATAAGATTTCTATTGTTTCTGTTGTTGTTTATATCCTGTTGCTTTTGTTTTGTTGTTGAGACAGAGTTTCTCTGTATTGCTTTGTAGCCTTTCCTGGAACTTGCTCTGTAGACCAAACTAACCTTGAACTCACAGAAAACCAACAGTCTCTGCCTCCCAAATGATGGGAT